CATAGGAGGATGTGATGAGCCAGTTTTCATAATAATCGAGACCTCAGACCCCCTTGATGGTTGATGTAGGAGACCACCGATGTGTTATCCATGCGGACAAGCACATGGTGGCCTCTCAGGACTGGCAGGAAGTATTTGAGTATTTGAAATGACCGCCATCATTTCTAACCGATTTATGTGCCAAGAAAGCTGATGGTCCTGCCAGAGACCTGATGGTCCTGCCACTCATGACTGCCCCCCATCCTGTGAGGGAAGCATCCATCGATAGTGTTACGCGTCGACAAGAAGCCCCCAACACTGGGCCCTGGACAAGGAACTAAGGTTTCTTCCACATGACCAAGGCACGTAGGGATCGCCGCGTGACCTTGATCTTGCGGAACAGATTTCCCCTCGGAGAAAACCCCTTGGTCCTGAGCCACCACTGCAGGGCCATGAGACCCAACAGTCTCTGAATCTTTTTCACAGTGAGTGACTGGCCTAATTTTACCCCTTACAGCTGTGAGAATCGCAGAAATGCGTGCTGGAGACAATCGTGATTGCAATGTTGTCGAATCCCACACCACCCCTAGAAAAGTGGTCCTCTGAGCTGGGAGGAGGACACTCTTCTTGGCCTTTAGTCAGACCCTAACATCTTTATGTGAGACAGAACCACATCTCGATGCCGAACAGCCATCTGCTCAGATTGAGCTAGGATCAACCAGTCGTCGATATGATTTAATACGCGAATGCCCTGGAGTCTCAGAGGAGCCAGAACTGCATCCACGCATTTTGTAAAGGTGCGGGGTGATAAACCTAGGCCGAACGGAAGAACCCGATGTTGGTATGCTTCGCCCCGGAAAGCAAACCTGAGGAACTTCCTGTGATGAGGATGGATAGATACATGGAAGTAAGTGTCCTTCAAGTCTATTGTGACAAACCAGTCCTCGGACTGAATCTGTGATACAATCTGTTTGAGCGTAAGCATCTTGAACTTGAGTTTCTGAGCTCTGCTGTTTAAAAGACGCAGATCTAGAATAGGACACAACCCACCACCCTTTTTCGGAACGATGAAGTAACGGTTGTAAAACCCTGACACTTTGCTGGGAGGAGAAACCCTTTCTATAGCCCCTTTTTGCAGAAGTGTCAGTACTTCCTGCTCTATAACCACTGTGGGAAGGACCCCTTGAAATCTGGGGGAACGAGAACCGAACTGAATTCTGTAACACTTTTCTATTATATGCAGGACCCACTGAGAAATATTTGGCAGTAGTTTCCACGCTGCCAGAAATTCTACTAAGGGTACCAGTCTCTCGAGACTGGTCTCTGGATTTGGTTGAACAGTCACTTCGGTGCCCTGAAGCGGCGAACCGGCAGGGAACAACCGAACTGACCGTTCTACGACCCTCCTCGGAGGATCGTATGGGGACGCTGACACCTCGGTCCCCTGAAACCGAACCGGCTGGAAACAACCGATGTGGCAGCGCTGCGACTCTCCTCAGAGAATCGCTCCCCAGAGGGCGCAGAGGAGGAACGATTTCTCGAAATCGTCCCTCCCTGGAGGGGACCACCCTCAGAAGATCGGAGGATGACAGTCCTCCGATCTTGCCTACCCCTAATTGGCCTGGACTGCGACCGCCACCCAGGTTCCCCCGTTTGTGGAGGAGCCGGAACGGCGACGCTCTGTTTTTGTTGCACTCTGTGCTGTGAGGAGCAACCCGAGGAGGAGAAACCCCGGAGGGTGCTACTCCCTGAGCAGAAGCACTGGATCCAGCAGGTAAGGGCTGAGATAGGGCGGGGCCCATCTCAAACCCCGCTGTTAGATCCATCTGCAAACCCCAAGATGTGAGCCGCCGCTGTGCCTCGGCAACAGCGGGACCAGCACCTCAGGGAGTGCGAACCGAACCGTCCTCCTCGAAGAATGCCCAGCGGGAGCGGAGCGTCCTCACGGACATTCTCTCGTAATGCTCACAGTCACCTCCCTCGAGAACTGACTGGTCATGCTCCACTCCCAAACAAGCAACACAAAGCTTATGTGTGTCTCCACCCGTGATGTAACATGGGCAGGGAACAACACAACTCTTGAAATCTTGCTTGCTCGCCATGATATATATATATATATTTATATATTGTGAACTTTGACAGACAACAATAAATAGACAAGGACTGAAACATAGAGCGCTTGCTGAAGGCACAGAAGCTGACGCGATCTGTTTTCCGGGGTGCTTTATAGCTTCCTGGTCTATGACGTCACCCGCCTATGATGTCTCGCTCTTCCATTGGACTGATTATGCACGTGCTTCACGACGCAATCACACAGGGGTGTTCCCACAGCGTAACTACGCAGCGGGAGTTCCCTTGATAGGGAACACTTTACAGTTAGTTTTATGACTGTTAAGCTGCGTTCACACTACACGCGACCAAGCGACACGATACCATTCATTTTCAATGGTGAGCGGGCGACTTCCGGCGACATGCGCGGTCGCGATCGTTGGCGACTGGATGGGGCGTGTCTGACGACGCGACAAAGTTGAGATCTGTTTAACTTTATGCAAATGCAGAGCGACTTTCGGGAGCGACAACCAATAGGAGAGAAGTCAGTGGAGCGCGTCACTCTTCAGTACTGAGCCTGACCGAGGCAAGTTGAACAAGAAGGTCGTTTTAGCAGTCAGAAACTGTCCTATTATTTATGATATATCTCCGTGTACATACAGTGACACACCGTACTGACTCCGTGCCTGAATGGTTTCGGGAACCCAGAAAGACCGGTATTTGCCCGTTTTCTGCAGTTAAATAGCCGCGATGGCAAAGAGCACTCACTGTTTCTCATTCATCTTTAATATTATGCATTTTATGTACTGATTCCATTTATATTTAGACTTTTCCTTCCGAAATATTTGTTTGTAGCGGCAAGAAAACGTATTTGTTGTCTAACATAGAGTAACATCCGTTAATGTCACTCACAAACATTACTAGGCAACCAGTAGTGGGAACGCCCTCCAGCGCAGCCACTGGCGACCTGCAGCGAAAAAGTCGCTTGTAGTGTGAACGCAGCTTAAGTCATTCTCTTCAAATGTTAGAAAGTTAGAAACATGTGTAGCAATGCTGTATGTAACTTTAGAGACGTTCCCTAAATGTGCAAATGTGCGAATATCCAGTGTCAAGCCAACTTTGTCAGTATTTCACTGGGAATCGTTCAGCATGAAACTTTGCGCGTTCATATTCTGAGTCCACTTGCCTGTTCCTATATCTGGTATAGCCTACATCCCCAATAAGGAGCGAGTTTGGTCTTTTTTATTACTGTATTAGTCCATTAAGCGTTAAGTGTCCTAACCGCAGGGGGATCCTGGAGAATGACGTATTGAGGGAAACACTAGTACTGCAGCACATCACTGCAATGTAAAGTTAAGAAAACTAAACAACCGAGAGAAAAATAAGTCTACTACCTCAGATTTAACGTTTTATCTATACATCAGCATCGGGGAATAACATTATAATCTCGTTCACAATAGAGAAAGCTGCTTACATGTGCGAAAAAAACTGTGACTTAAATTTAAACACAGCTTTTGTGTCTTTATCAGCTTTTCCATATATATACTGCCCCTGATAATCATCACAAATACTTACCGCTTGCTCAATTTTTGTAAAAAATTATGAATGAATGATTCACTCATCCGTTGCTCTATAGTTTTCTTCGTCAACAGCCGCTTCCACCCCCTGCTGGTGAGATCGACTAACAGCTATGGAGATTGTCAATGGGCAATCTACTGATATTCCTGCCGTTCCCGGATGTGAAATGTTGAATTTTCTATCAAATTTGAACCACTGAATTTGTGGAAGCGAATTTGTAAAGCGTAATAAAATGGACCGAAAATTTCCTGTTGAATATTAGGTATAGGTTGTATTTTTAAACAGAATGAATATTTTGGAAGTGAAATCTGAAAGGTGAATATGGATTATTGAATTTTTATTAATGAAAACGCGTGTGAAATGTTTTGAATTTAAATATTCAACGCTTAAATGTACAACCATGTTGTAATTTCAGCCCATAAAAATGCAAGCAGGGTAAATGTTTTTTTCAAGTAGTGCAATTCAACAAGCTATTTTGTTTCAAAAACATTTGTCATTATTTTAAATCCAGTAATAGATCTTATTTTCTGCAATAATCCAAAAGCCAATGGAAAAATCCTGTTGGGTTTTTGTCAAGGGAACCAGGGTGATGCTGATTTCCGGGTTGACCGACAACAATATGTCATCCCTGCAGCACTTTGTAGCTGCGCAAAATTATGCTTAATTATTGATGAATATCAAAGACAACACATAACTGTAATCGCAACTAAAATGTATTACCAAAGATTATTGTTCCCATGCTCCATCAGCAAAAGCTAAAAATCCACACAAAAAATTTCACGATATTCTAAAAGAGGAACAAATATATAGAGATGCATTACTGCAACAGCTGTTTGCTGGTTAATATTTTGTGGAAACCATGATTTTTCTTCTAGGATTCCTTGATGAATGGAAAGGTCAAGAGATTAGCATTTATTTAAAATAAAAATCTTTTGTAACATTATAAATGACTTTACTATCACTTTTGATAAATGTAATGTATCCTTGTTGAAAAAGAACTTACCCCAAACTTTTAAATGATTGTGTCTCGTGATTCTCACAAAACTGTTAAGCAGCAAAAAAAAAAAGTTTTCAACAATGATAATAAGAAATGTTTTTTGAGCACCAAATCAGCATATGAGATTGATTTCTGAAGGATCGTGTTGCACTGACAACTGGAGTAATGTCTGCTGAAAATTTCATTGTCATCACAGGAAAAATTACATTTGAAAATGAATAGAAAGCAGTTATCTTAATTGTAACAATATTTCACAATATTGCTGTTTTTACTTTTTTTTTTTCATCAAATGCAGTCTTAGTAAGCATACAATACTACTTCAAAAACATTTTAAAATCTAAATTTCAAACTTTTGACTGGTAGTTGTTTATATGCATATTATCCCCACCCAACTCACCAATTTCACGCCCCAGTGATGAGTTAAGAATTGCCCCGGCCGAAGTCACCACGGCACATGTCCTGTATGCCTGCTGCAGTTGAGGAGGAACCAGCTGTTGAAAACCTAGATGAGCGAAGGGTTGTTCAGAGCTATTCAGAGTCATGAGCTGAGCTTGCTCTTTTATCTGACACAGTATCTCCTGCCTACCCTTGTTTGCTTTACGCTGGCCTTTATAGAGAACTTTGTACTTGTTAGAGAGAACATAGTTCTTCTTGGCTCGCTGTAGTCGTTGGCCTAGCAATTTGGAGGACACCTGTCCCTTCCACAGACCACGGACCACCGACCAGGTGTTGGAAAATTCAGTTTCAGGAGGCTTCATCACATTCTTCCTAAACTCTGTCCGACGTTTGCCAAAATTCCTGAAATGAAACTCTTTTATAACACGAGGAGGTTGAAACACGTGCTGGAAAGGACCCCTCCTCTCCGCAAACATACCCCAGGGGGCATTATGGGATGCCATGATGGCCCTAGAACTTCTCTGAACATGGGTTGAGTGTTGAGATTCAGAGTTGAAGACGGAAGTCATCCTATGGGGCAGGTTCACCTGTGAGTCAGTGAAGTAGGAAAATAAAGCAAAGAAGAGCAGCATCCATACCAGAAGGACCAGCAGTAGAAGTTTAGCCGACCGCTTCATGACATGCCGTAGGCCCGGCAAAGGAGAACCCTGGACTATCATCACCCGTTTCACAACACTCACACTGGAATGAAACAGAAAGGGGTGGTGCTTAATATGAGTTTGAGGGGACATATGCAAAAATCCTTGATATAGGGAAAGTGACACTAATAAAGCCAAAAAACAGAAATGATTAATTTCAGAGGAAATATATTTGGTACTGTCATTTTACTTTTTATTTTGAGCTATTTGAATGTTCGATTCCATAATTATTTGTGATCAAGTGTCGCTACTGTCTGACAGTCACTAGAAGTTGTCAAAACTGTGCTGTGTGTAACCAATTTGACATTATTTGACAAAGTTGGCTGAATATTGGTAAGAATTTTAAAATTAAGAAATTAATGCAAATACAACTTGACATGATTTTTTAGAGGCCAGGCACCTATTGTATCAGTTGGTTTTCCCACATTAACCACAACAAATTTGGAGTCTCTAACTTAATCCCTCTAGTGCCACCAACTGTTTAAAGTAGCACTTACGTTTCTGCTAATAACTTTTTAACTGTAAGGGCTAGAAACAAAATATTTTTTCCTCTGAATCCCTGGCTCATGTGTGTGTCTCGAAAGATTGATTAACCTTGTCTGATTCAATATGGCGGGTGTGTGTTTGGCAGGCCGTCTGATGCTCTCGTGTTTGCTTATCTGGTTGTTTGCGGTGTCTCTAAACTGATGTATGCTTCTAGTCTACGATCATCAAGCTCTCCTAGATGTCACCGATGTGAAGGCCAAGGGTTATTTACCACACTCCGGAGGAGCAGACACCAGAGGCAGACAACCAAGGTAAGTTTAAAAGGTAAGTTTTTATTCAAATTAAAAAGGGATAAAAGCAGGGACAGCGACGTTCGTGGCTGTGGCTTTGGTGCGATACGGGGAGGGGAGTGCTGGTAGGCACTCTTCCGTTCTTCAGGTAAGTATATCCCTCTCTTGGTGGCTCGTGGGACAGACAGTGACTTTTCTCGTCGTCAGACTCGTCGAATAAGCTCGTGGGACAGACAGTGACCTTTCCCGTCGTCAGACTCGTCAAATAGACTTGTGGGACAGACAGTGACTTTTCTCGTCGTCAGACTCGTTGAATCAGCTCGTGGGACAGACAGTGACTTCTCTCGTCGTCAGACTCGTTGCATAAGCTCGTGGGAAAGACAGCTTCCAGGCTCGGATCCGTTTACGTGCTCACAGAGCCACCACTCAACTCTCCGCAGTAGCTTCTTTGCTTCATGCAAGGAACAGACAATTTGACAGTGAGACGGACAGTAGTAGGTTGAGACAGAAAACGGGGTACTTTACCAGCCTTCGCCCTCGTTCCGTGTGTAATAGGACGGCGTCGTTGGAAGAATTAGTGAGGCTGGACTTTCTTTGGCGTGGGATACAGTGCTCGTGAACAGTGGCAATAAAGGTGCGTTGAGCTTTTCTCCTCCGCACCATGCACACAATCTCAGAGACCTAGACACAGCTGAGGGGACAGATCAATTCGAAAGAATCTTCAAAGTTATGGGTCAATTTCATCCGTCAGAAACTCACAGAAAACACAGTTGTTTGATCTCACCACACTCGTGCATAAATCACTCTTGTAAATCTCCACACGTGTTTAGTTCACTCTTTCAGACACTGCAAACTCACTCTCTTCACAGCGATTAATCAACTCGTTTCTCTCTTCTTCATAGGGTGGATGAACCAAAGAATAGTGGACTCAGAAGATGAACATGGATTCAGCGATCTTCCCAGCCATTACTGTTACTGTCAACAGGATAACACACACTGCCCACAAACACAGGTTAGTCGTACAATGGTGATGGCAATCTTCACATGTGTTTTTCTCCAAAAGGCGAATCATAAAAAGGGGTGCACTTAACTTTTCCTCGGTGAATCACGTGAATCCTGCAGCGGGTTTCCACTCTCTTTTCTGCCAGTCACTCTCCTTCTTCCTCTGTGAAGTTTTCTCACTTACTTCGTTGTGTTGCTGTTCGTGGTTTCTTTAAAAAGACTCACTTAATGAGCATGTCTCGGGGGACTCAACATAGAACACCGATCAGGTCTTAAACCTCTGCTTTCTGCACTTGCCGCCGCTCACTGCCACTGCTACAATCCACTCGAGCACTCCTGTGGAGCTTTCCTACTGCCAGAGCATTTTTTCACACCTTACTGTGCTTCAAGCCCCTCTCTTTATACTCCTTTTTCCCAGACACATGCTTCAATGAAGCGCTACTCACTGGCTTCAGCTGGCGCTTGTTATGGTCGGCGGCCATGACAGGTAAACCCAGAGCCGGCCCGGTGTTACACCGGCATTTCTTCCCCCTGGAAACGAGTCAATAATTTTTTGGTTCCCGGTTTGTTCACCCGGTGACATCGACATCCGCATCTCTGTTGGACTCATTTTCGAACTCTCACACCTTTGGATGTGGCCTCCCCCATCTACAAAACACAGTTGCTCCGAACGCTTATCCCGCACGATATCCGCTGGTGGCCTCTTAACATCTTGCGTAGGAGCGAACATCTTGCGTTTTATGTTCATCACAGAATCCTGGATAAAGGTTGGTGATCTAACACCTCCATAGACCACACTGACTTTAATGAAAACAACTGTTTTGCAGAGCGTGCCATGTTTGCTGTGATGCATTTACACGGCTTTGACCAGCGGATGTCGCTAGCGTGGCACTCCCTTCTGCTCCGATGCTTTGCGTATGCGTAGAAGTGCGAGAAAATAAGTCATTATTACGAGAAAGTTTCTCATTATTATGAGATATTAAGTCATTATTACGAGAAAGTGTCTCATTATTACGAGATGTTAAGTCATTATTACGAGAAAGTTTCTCATTATGAGATGTTAAGTCATTATTACGAGAAAGTTTCTCATTATGAGATGTTAAGTAATTATTACGAGAAAGTTTCTCATTATTATGAGATGTTAAGTCATTATTATGAGAAAGTTTCTCATTATTATGAGATGTTAAGTCATTATTATGAGAAAATTTCTCAATATAATGAGAAACTAGGTCATAATTATGAGAAACTTTCTCATTATTATGACTTACAGAATTATATTTTTTTACTCAACCGTGGCGGAAACGGGCTTCCATAACCAGCACATTTTTCTAGAAAGATGGTATGCAGGTTTGAAACAACATGAGGATGAGTAAGTAACAGAATTATAATTTTTGGATAAACAATCCCTTTAAGGATGTAGGTTGCAGATTCAGATTCACGCAGTAACATTTTTTAAGTTACATTTTCTAGCTAGGAAAAAGTGGCAGTATAAAGTAAAAAAAAAAAAAAGGTAAAAAAACTAAACATAAGTCACAATAAAATCTAGATTGACCATTACATTTTTTATGGAATATTGCAGCATTAAAATAAATGATTTATCGGTTTACATTATTTAAAGTGCCCCTATTATGCTATTTTAAAGTTTCCTAATGTTTGTTTTGGAGTCTCCTACAACAGGTTTACATGCATCAAAGGTCAAAAAACTGTTCAAAAAGACAGTAACGAACAATGACGTCGATTTTACCATATCAATCCAAGCGCGAGTCCGATGGTGAAACATTTATGTATAGTGCCTTTCAAGTGCTCAGGGATGCTTTACAATGTATATGCAACAATGAAGGGATAACACTGGGGCAGACAATGATGACAAACAATAGTAGTAAGTTAGAGTAACAAGAATACAGTACAGTAAAAAAGCATTACATAGACAGGGCAGAATACGGCAGAATAGAGGTAAGCACAACAAAACACAGAACAAAACTTAAGAATGATAACATTCAGAAAATAAGTGAGTTTTGAGTAATGATTTGAGTTCAGATATATTAACACAACAGAGTGATCAGGGGAGTGAATTCCACAGTTTAGGTGCAACAACACTAAATGCTCTGCCCCTGGGGGACACCTTCCTTCAGGGGGACAGTGGGTGATCCCCTGTACTACCATCCTGTACTGAAATGTAGAATTGTCTGTCAGAGAGATGGGAAGAAAACCAAAAAAAAGCAGCACCAGAAATGCAAGAGATGCATTGATGAAGTGAGAAATAGGTGCAGAGACAACACAATGGCAAAGTTTCAGTAGTGAAGTAGGAACAGGGACAAGTCGACAGGATAAACAGTTGGATTTCAAGATTAATTCAGACACAAAAGATGGAGTAGTCAGAGAAAAGAAAGTCAGGGACTGACCGGCAAATAAGCTTCGTAGAATCATTAGAGAAATGCTGGTGGATGGCATCTGTCTTTTCTAGCAAGTAATTCAGCAATAGCACATCTCATTTGAAGCTATAGAGCATCATGGGATGGGTGTTTGGTAAGCTTATTTTTTGGGCCCTATCTTGCACTCGGCGCAAATGACTTTGTACACTGACGCATGTATCATTCCTATTTTGCACCCGCCCAAAGCGGACTTTTCCCTCCACAGACACACGTCGGTTAACTATGAAATACACTTGCGCTCCCCGGGGCGGTTCAGCGCAAAGAGGAGGCGTGTTCCGGCGCAAACTTTCCCTCATGCTATTTTGCTGTTCTATAAAACAAATGCGCCACTGACCAGAAAAAAAACTAGTCTAAAGTCAGTGGCGCGTTGTTCATTATGCTATTTTAAGGGCGCATGCTTGGCAATAATCAATGTAGCGTGTGCACAACACGCATACACTTTGATTCTCTCATCTAAGCAGCAGTTTTCATTTTTGCAAATCATACATTATTACGATAGATAGACAAATTATTATAAAAGCATACATGTAGCTTACACATTTACCCAAATTATCATACGCCTGTTTAACAGAAGTTAATTTGGGTGGGTTTCTCCATCCCCATACAATGTCACTTCTCTGTGTTTTACGGGCCTGACGAGAACGTTGCTCTCCTCGGCTGTGAACCGCTCCTGGCGCGCGCCTGGCAAATCCGCCGTTATAATAGCAATCCGCTTTAGAACAAGCGCGCCTGCTCTTAAAGGGAATGTGAGATGACGCTCTGATTGGTTTATTTCACGTTACGCCCAAACCACACCTATGAATAATGAAGCTACTTCAGACCAACCC